TCAGGTATCACTCCATCATGACTTCGGCTCGGCTCCACTCGTGCTGCGCTCTGGCCTGGATCTTGGCCTTGGTGCTCATCGCCGTGCTCTTTTCCTTCCACATGAACGTCCCGCTGTGCGGCCGAACCATCCAACATGTCTACTGCAGCAACAGAGGCATCCTGAACATAGCCTGCATTCCCACGCCCACAAACGACATCTACGGTTGGTAAATTTACCAAGAAATTTATCAAGAAATTGTTTTGTTTGTGTTTCAAGCATTTTGTACAACTTTTGCTTTCCCTGTTAATGTCTAAGAAGTGAGTCAGACATGACAATAAAAAGAAACCATTAAAAAAATGGACAAAACGTTGTCTAAAACCAAAGCATTTTATTTTAATTTTATTCACAGTTTCCAACCTGTAAATTATTGAAAACTTCTAGTTAAATATTTAAAGGTTAATTTACCCACTAAATGTAAATTTAACAAAAACTTGTCTTAAAAGTAAGAAAATGAAACAAAAACATCCTATCAAGCTATCACAGGTTGAACTTTCTGCACTTTAGAGACACGGTTATATCTTCAAAAAAAAAAAAAAAAAAAAAAGTAAAAAAAACAACATTAAATGTTCCTTTAACAAAAAAACCTAGTCCAAACTGCCCTGTGGTTCACAGCAGCAGCTTGGCTCCAAGCTTCATACTCAACTCCTGATGAGTGAACTTTGATGTCCACAGGCCACTGTATTACAGGAAACATGTTCAGAGTGAACTCGTATGACCACTCTAATACTTAATTGGGGCATGCCATAAAAAGTATAAGACATTCAGTGCAATGTTTCATTCTCCACCTTTTAAGGGTTTCTTAAATATCTTTTTATTCTTCTATCAACATTTTGGCAGCTCAAACCGTAATGTGTAACCAAACAAATTATGCATCAACACGACTATCTCGCTCCAGGACGTGCGTTTTAACCTTTAGTAATGTTTGGTGTTACCTTAGTGATGTTTGGTGTTACTTTTAGTAATGTTTGTTGTTACCTTTAGTAACGTTTGGTGTTACCTTTAGTAATGTTTGGTGTTACCTTTAGTAATGTTTGGTGTTACCTT